TAATAAGACATCAGCGAAAGCAAAGTAAGTAATATTCTTTACTCACCATTAGACAATTATTTTGAGGAAGCATGCATATCTATACACCGATTTCTATCAATGATCTATTATTTTCATGCCGACCGCTGTTCAACCTTGGTAATAAATAAATACATAAAGAAATAAAAATGTATTATAATTCGTTGCAAATCGTTTTAAACTTGCAGAAAAGTACATTGTTGATGCACCATTAATAATAAATATAAGTTGGTACATTAAATGTATACATTAGAAAAATTTACATGTTGCATGCAGGTAGCGTCATTGGTGAAAGTGATTAATGAGTGATAAAGTAAACAAGCAATTGGGCAAACGCAAAGCTTGAAAAGCGCACCTTATCATATCGTTTTAAATCTAGCGAGTCTGCAGCGGGCACAACGTATAACGTTTACAGGGAAGCATACAGAGCTTGGCAATACAAGGAAAAGTGTATACCAAATGCAACTGGAAGTTCATGGATAAATCAAATGATATGGGTCTATAATATTGGTATAAGATATGAATCAGAAAGAGATCGAGAGAATATGTTGACGGCAAGCATTTTTACCAATCGAAAGCGTACCATTTTTGCAAGTGTATTTAACAGTGCTGAATCTTTTTATAATGTGCTTCGACGTCAAGAGTTTAGATTACAGACTGTTCTCGATGTATATTACTATCATTCCGGTTCTTCCTTTTCAGTTGTGTGCAATATTAACACCGTATAACAATTTATTTTTGTTCCTGGGTAGTAAGTGCTATTTCCTAATTGCTTATGCCTCAAGCGTATAAGAAATGGATATTATTCCCCACAAACTTTGCATTTTTGACTAGGACAGTGATAGTTTGAAATTTACCTATTTTCCAGAACATTCCAAGTAGATTCATTGCTCAGTAACTTTCTAGAAAAGTTTTAGAGCTTTCCATTAATATAAATAGCAGTATAAATACAGGAGTCTTAAGCCAATAAGTTCAGTTTAGTTCCAGCTGCCTAAGTGGATACATGTCTGCATTTTTCTGAGATGGCGTCAAGAAGCTGCAGGCATCCGGCAGACGCATTTTGCTACGTCTGCGGACAATGTAACAAGACAAAAGCGAAAAAGTACTCAATGGAATCATCTGCTATGATGTGTGAGGCCTACAAGGCATATTTCGGCATGCCTATCGGGGATCAAGACAAAACCTGGGCACCTCATTTCACCTGCGACCACTGCAAAAAAAAAAAAAAAGAAAAGAAAACACTGGAAGGTAACATGGACAATTGTTGCTTGGAATTTTGTTATAAAATTTGCTAAAAAGTTTTAAATTGTAAACGTTTTTAATTGTAAAATGTTTTCCAATTTTCAATGTTATTGAAAGAAAATATATATGAAAAATGTTTGCGATAATTTTAAACATTAGTCATGGGTGAAATAAATGAACTTTTGTAGGATGTTACAGAGGGGAAAAGAGAGTCATATAATTCGCTATTCCAAGAATTTGGCGGGAACCCACTGGCCACTCAAGAATCTGCTACTTCTGCATGGTGGACCCTTCCAAACGATGCACTGGCAAGAATGCACTTGCTATCTCTTATACGGACCTTCCTTCAGCAATCGCCTAGGTGCCACACTGCCCTGAGCTCCCAGTACCCTTTTTCCATTGAGAGAGAAGCTCTCTTTATAAGAGAATAGCAAGTCAGAGAGCGAGGAAGACGTTGTAGATCCAGATGATAATTTCATTGGTGGAGCAGAGAAGAGATACCCATACAACTCCAACCAATAAGATCTCACCAAGTCCAATTCCGAGCTTTTGACGTCTAGGCTGAAGCAGCGGAGCTTATTGGATGAAAATGTGCAAGTCGCAGATCAGAGGATGTGTCACCAAGCTTTTCCCATCCGTCAAGATGGGCTTTGTTTCTGCCACAATGAGACTAGTCTGTTCGAGGCAATTGGATTTGCCTGTAACCAGAATGAGTGGTACCTCTTCAATGAAAGCTCATTCAGGAGCCTCAAAGCCGTGTTGCTTGATAATGGAAACAAGTACTCGTCTCTTCCCCTGACTCACTCGGTGCATCTCAAAGAGAATCACAACAGCATCTAGATCTTGCTGGACGTCTTGAAGTTCGATAAGTTTCCCTGCTCTCTTTGCATTTTGACAGCAGAAACACCAAGGCGCACTACCACAGGCGGTACTGGCCACCATGGACCTAGGTCTTTTTGGGGAGGAACAACGTCAAGTAGGAGCCACTGGTTGACTCAGGAAGGTGCTGATGCCACTACTGCACATCTAATTGGGCCTTATGAAACAATTTGTAAGAACACTAGATAAAGAGTCTGTAGCTTTCAAGTAACTTCAAGTTTTCTTCCATAAGCTGTCTGAGGCAAAAGTCAAAACCGGTGTCTTCGTCCGACCATAGATTTAAAAGATCCTGGAGTGCAGTGAGTTCCACAAAAAGATCACTCGTAAGGAGAAAGCGGCTTGTAACAGATTTGTCGCAGTGGTTCGGGGCTTCTTCGCCAACCACAAGGCCGAAAACTATGTGGAGCTGGTTAAGACTGGTGAAGCACTATGGCACAATGGGCTGCAGGAAGTCCCTCAAAGTCCATATACTTGATGCTCATCTTGATAGATTCAAGGAGAACATGGGAAATTACTCAGAAGCAAGGCAAGTGCTTACACCAGGATATACCGGACTTTGAACGCCGCTGCCAATGACAATATAACGAGAACATGATGGGAGATTCCATTTGGGGGCTGATTCGTGAAAGTGATTTACAGTATATTCTTAAATCTCTAATAACTCATTTCTAAATCGTTTGTGGTCAGTTTTGTTATACTTTAGTATAAATACATGTTACACTTGATTCATAATTTGTTCTTTCTGACTTTATGTTAACGAAAAGACACAAATTCACCAGTTTTCTCAATGGAAATATGCAATATTCAAAATATAATTGTCCTGGTCACAAAAGCAAAGTTTGTGGGGAATAATAGCCATTTTCTATAATTTTCAGGCATAAGCAATTACGAAATAACACTTACTAGCCAGGATCTAAAGTTATGTTGCATAGTGTAATTCAACATAGTAAATATTTATGATGTTTTAATCTTTCCTATTCAGCGATTTATAGTCACACAAAAAATAATTTCAATCTGAATGGCAAGAAAGTTAAAATATCTACTTCGTTTCACGACCACGCTCATGCCGATCAAAGCGTAAAAAAACCTGCTCCAATTTAGAGGACGATAATGTAAATATGAAAATAATTTCATTTAAAAGCTGAAGGTGTTATGCACATAATGGTCATTTAAAGAATTAAATTGAATTACCTCATATGATGATATTCTCTCTCCTTGCACAATCCGTCTTCGCATAGACAGTTCCTCTGACGCTCGTTTTCTACAGTGCTCATAAGCATACCGTAAAGACAACAAAAAAATCTGAAAAAGGATGCATGCACTTTTTCATTCAGTAGACATTTGGCACAATGTTGCTCAGAACAATTTAAAATCCAATTTGTCTTTAGGCATTTACTTAGAATTATTAACTGTGTAACGCTTTACATTTCTCTCGATTCGGTTTATATTTATTTATATAAAGTTTTCGTAAACAGTATTTAACACATGATGTAACGTTATGTGTCAATTCATACCTACATCACAATTCTGAGTAGATGATACACAATGGTCTCCTCTGTCAGGCCCTGTTTCTGAAGAAACTAAAAAGCATCGGTGTATTCATTGCTATAAAGTTCTTAGAATCGTTCGGCTATGTTTGTTGGTCTATTACTGTCTGACAAATCAGCAATGTTCGGATTTCCATGACGCAACAGTAAACTGGCTTCTTCACTCCGTCTGCTGAATGAATAAAAATACTCAAATCGATTTATTTTGTTTGTCTTATCTTGTGGCAAAATCTCATTAGATGACTGATTGAATTCAAGGAAAGCTCAACATTTTCAAGAATTTTGAAACATTTTTCTACGCTAATGCTTCCGTCAACCGCACCTAAAACCCACACCTCAGGTAAAGACACATACACTTTGTAATTCTTGTAAGTGTTGCAGTACTTTGTGAGAGACAGAAATTATATGGTGGGGACAGATTACTGCATATTTGCAGCTGATGGTTATGTAATCTTGTAAAACTGTTAGGTACATAGATATGAATCATTTGAACATTTTGTTCTGTTTTGAACATTTGTTGTAAACATCTGTTTTATTACTGTTATCTGTTTCGGTTTTAAAAAGGGTGAAAACAACATGCTTTGTAAAATTTAATAAGTAATTTATGTCTCTAGAAAAAAGGGTAAAATGGGAAAAGAAATTTACAGTTTTACGAATCAAATCCAAACTTAATCCAAAAATTAAAAAAGTAGAAGTCTATTTATTAAAAAGTCTTAAATGATTTCGAGTTCGAGTCCCGATGAAATTCAGAATGGAGGACGATGACGTCTGTCGTAACCATTAAAGTGCTGTTATCAACAGTTCTTTGTTGAATGACAGAAAATAATATTCCACATTTTAATTCCGAATATTTTTAGTGAATATTTTAGTTCTAGAATTCTGTATGAGCACTTATAATTTCAGTGAAAAGAATTAATTGTATTCCCTAGAATTTCATCTCAAACTGGTCACACCAAAACATCTTTACGTGTCAAAGGTTTAGAGCCCGACTGAACACGCACTCCCAGTATGGCCTTAACTGAAATCAATGGTTTACTCTAGGAATGAAAATAGAAAATATTAAAAAATTGCTAACCAGAACCCATACTGGTTCTGAATCAATATCAACATTATAATAATACGTAATAGATTTCTAAAAAAATAAAAAAACAACAAACAATTAAAATACATATCCATAACATCATCTTAATCCAATCAAAAATTTTATATCAAACTGTAAAGCTTATTTTAAATGTAAAAGATGACATAGTTTAAATGCCTTACTTTAATCTCAACACATCTGAAAGATATTATTCTTACGATATCCGACCGCTCCGGTGGCATAGTGGTTAGAATGTCCGCCCCGTAATCGAGAGGTCTCGGGTTCGAACCCCGGCAGAATGATACAGAAAAACAAAACGGTACAAACAACTGCTCCGCATGGCGCACAGTATTGAGAAGTTATTGTCAGGAGAGGTTGACCTGGTGTCAGGATAATGTGATTGGGTGGGACACGTGTGCGGAATGATGTCCCTTTGCTAGACATCGCTATAAACGGCCACACTGCAGACATCGTAGCAATATGACTAAAACATTGTTAAAGCTACGTCAAAAATCCATATCACACACAAACACACACACACGCGCGCGGACTTACTTCATCCCGAATTTAACTGCAAACTAAATTGTATTCAATAATTAATTGCTTAAATGCGTTTATCTTGCCGATATATTGTATACTTTCAACACTTGAGCATATATTCGTTTACAATAATTTGCTTCAGTTTCTACTGAAAAGGTTTGAAACATTACTTTAACTGGATACAATGGTCAGCTCTACTGAAAGAGACACTCACCGCATGATGTTCATCTAGGTTGTTATCTCTATCTTTGAAGAAATTATCTGCACTAGAAAGAGCAATACATAGACTGAGCTGATAAACGTCCACATGTGATTACATAGTGCGAAACACTGAAATTTTGGACCTGTTGTACAGAAAATGTGATAAACAAGCTATAACAGAATTATCAAACATGAAAAGTATTGCATTTGAACGTTTTATGTATAAAACAAAACAAAGAAATTTAATAATAGTTTAGTGTATCTTTATATCGATAAATTTCAATGTCAGAGTTAACGTGGGTTCTTCTGTCAGGTTCTATGTTTCGTTCGGCTTCATTTGAACGGTCATGTTTAGTACTTCTCTGATTAACTATTCCATGCCCATTTTCATTTCGAAAACTAATTGGAACAGTTGTATCAAAATAGACTTTCCTTTTATTTTTCGCATCCTCCTCACTATCATTATTCTGTCTAATTTTATTCTTACAATGGGCATTTCTGAGGGTATCAGGGTCACGTGATCTGTAAATCGGTTTTAAATGAGAAAGATCCCAGATTTTTTTTGTCTTTTCAGTTTTATTTAATTGACTAACAATATATGGATCGTTTGAAGAATAAGTAAAATGATCTTTCTCATGTTCATTCCTTAAGTTTTCTCTGTTCATCATCCTTTCCATTGAATAGAACTGGGTGTTATTTCCTGGCTTTTCTTTTCGGTAGAATATGCTGCCCAATCAAAGCAACCGCTTTCTTTTGGACCTGACCTTAGACTTGCGTGCTCTTTTAGGTTACTATCGTAGCTGTAATCTTTACTGACATACGGACGCGCAATATATCTTAATTCTGTGTTCTTTTTTATCATCAACGCCATATCTACTTGAAGTCAATTGTAAATCTCTGCTTGATGTTTGGTGTCCTTGTTTTAGGAGTCAGCGGTATATTTTCAGTCCTTGCGTGTAATTAAAAAGGACGTTGTCGCAAGTAATATTAAATGCTACCTGCCAAAATTCATAATTAATTATAATTAATTAGTAAAAATAAATCAGACCAAAAATAATACTGAATGCAATTTACCATATTCATGCAATAACTGAAGTTAGTAGCTGTTAAGAAAGAAAATTATGCGTGTTTGAGTCTAGTGGAATTACGTTTGAGTTTGTACTATTTTGGGACATTATTAATCCTCTGTCTGAAGTGTCTTATAATCGAAGAATTTGGCGTTCATGTACCTTTCTAATTTATAAAATTCAAAAACGTGTCACAGACGCAGAAATGAATACATACTTATTATGAAACATACCAAACATGGTAAAAAGCAGATTAAATAAATTCCAAAAATCGTAATCGAAGTTACTGTATCCATGCAAAGTTATTAGGTACATGACATTACGTCCTGAAAATTCAATGTTTGCCTTTTGAAAAGTTACAGAAAAAATACCTTCACGACTTTCCAATTCACAAAACCTTTATTCTTTCTTTGCAGTATTTGTTATATAAATCTTAAATGTTTTGTTCAAGAATGGAATACACAACTCAATGAAGTCCTCGGTGTTATCCAGTTAGCCAGTTCCTTCCCATTACGACTCCTTCGTGTGGGTTTTATGTAGTTTCAAAAGAATGGGAAACTCAAGTAATATAAATTCCGGAACATTTTACAAACGTGTGATTTTTCAGTTTGAAAAGGAATTGTTCGTTATGCTAATGTTATATGCGGCGTGATTTATTGATATTCCTTCTACTAATTGTTAGATGCATGATATGGAGTCATAATTTAGCATTTATCTTCATAACGTTATTCACTTAAATGAATGTTTTACTCATCTTTATTTTAATCTGCATTGGTTGCAGATTTCAAGGCGATTTCCTGAGTAATTGTCTCAAAGTCAAACGAACAAACTAGCTAAATTCATATTTAAATTAACACAAATCACTATTGATATTTTTCATATTATTTATGAATAAAAGTAATAAGGAATATTCACTGTAGCATATTAACGAGAGGAAGGGGTAGACGCACGTGAGGTTGTCCATGGCGCCAAAACCACTTTGGGCCATCATTGTCTCCATTGGGCGTCATTTACCCTTTGTAAGCCACTGTATATTTAGAGTGTCACACAATTTCACCTTTACAACCATGTTTATACATTAATGAAGTTTAACTTATCAATATCCAAAGCCAAAATATTTAAATATCAATTAACTTAATTGATAGTGATTGTTAGTAGTATAGGATAATGAGAGTTTTTTGACCCACCACCCCCTCCCACACCTCCTCCCCAACTCCGCCAAACTCTCATTTCCCTATACTACTACTACGTAGACAGATATTTTGTAACCAGACAAAACAACAGGTGTTGGAATGCGATAAGCTCTGTCAACAGAAGTGACGAATTTGTTAGAACAGCGCATGCGTGGAATACAATTATTCTAAAGACAGCAAATGGGTTTTACCACAAATTTTTTATCAGATAACAGGATGAAAATTAAACTGTACATTAGAACGTTTCAGTTAACAAGGCGGAAATTAAACTAGCATTAGAATGAAAATGATATTATTTTAGTTATATTATATCTTAAGTTTAGATAAAATTTTATGTTACTCATATTTTTTGTGATTTTTTTTTCATACTTGCTAACCCTCATTGGTAGAATATATGTTAACATATTGTCAATAATACGAAATTCACGTAATAAATCATCCATATTATATTTAACTCCTCGTAGGTAAGACCGGATCTGATCAAGTAGTTTCTTGTAAGTTTTAATTGATGTTAAACAACCGTGCTTCTTTATCAAAAGTCTTGGTTCTACTTTTTTACACGCCGCTGTAAGTGAAACACCAATAGCGGATATGATTAACAAAAAAGGATTTAATGATACCCCACTTGAAATTATACAAGAATTGGTCATTAACAAGGGTAGATAAGATATTACTCGAAGGATCTTGTTGTAGTATTTGTAACATTTTTTCACGCACCAAAGTTTTTTTATGATAATATTTATAGTATTGTATTAATGCGTCTAAATCTTGTTTTGGAATATCTTTTGAAATATGATTGAAATAAACTATACTTCTTTTCATTATAATATTAGTTCACATAGTCCTATGTTTGGTTAATCCATAATAAGAGCTGGTTGTTCAGCTATAAATTCCAAACACCAGAGAAAAATTGCTAATTTTAAAGTTTTGTCAACTGGTTGAAGTACAAATTCTTCTTCAGAATTTTTGTTTATTATTACAGATAATACTCCAGATGAGTCATCATTTGGATGACGAAATAGATATTTGGTAGATATTCTAAACTTTGCACTGCTAAGCACTGACAATCTATACACACCGGTAACTTCTGCAATATATTTGATAGAATTATTTTTTGGTGTCCACCCAGTATAACCAGTATCAACAGTATACACAATATTTTTAATCTGTTTGTGAGGAATTTTAACCATGCTCGTATTCTCAACAATATTAGGAATTCCAATAATAATATCATTGAGTTTTGTGTTAATATCATTCAGTTTTGTGTTAATATTAGCGAGTGTAATGTTAACAATTGATGGATTTCCAAAAAAATCATCTTTAAGCGTGTTTATGTTTCTACGAAAATTTAAAAACGTTTTACGTGACCGGTAAATTCATTTTTGAGCGCTGTTATTTCATTACTGATTGGAACGTCCTGATCATCGACATATTTCTTAGTTACAGCGTCTCCATCTGTAGTTGGATATCCAATATATGTAATCTTGTTCTGGTTCATAACAATATTCCCATTAAATAAATCACCAGCTTTTTTAACAATATCATTTACTGGCCTATCAGAATCTTGTATCTTACCTTGATTGTTAAAAGTCATGATATTATCAGCAACCGCATTAGGAATTCGTACAAGTACATCTGGCAGTTTTACATCACTCGTTTTTAATCGTCCTTCTTTGTCCTGGAAAATGACAACTTCATCTGGTTCTACACTGGTAAGATTTAGTAAATTATTGATTTCATTTTTGAGCTGATCAAGAGTTGCATATTTGGATAAGTCATCTTGGTAACCTTTTGTGGATAAATCTCCTGATAGTGTTCCAAATTTTGTATAGTAACTCATTATTTACTGTCTTAGATAAAATTATCAACACTAGTTTAATATTATACAAAATGGCAAAATCGTCGATATTAAACTTTGATACAGAGAAGCTGGTGAAACACAAACATAACAAAGAACTTCCTGATTGTCATTATCTTATTTTTGGGCAAACTGGATCAGGAAAAACAAATTTGCTTATGAACTTGCTTCTTGGTGATAATTTTAACTACGATAGAGTCTATATTTACACAATCAATCCACAGCAAGATAAGTATGAGTTATTAAGCGATTATAATGACAAACTTCGTGATGAACTTAAGGCTGGTGAAGATTTTTTTATAATAAGGCAGCCAGAAGATCTTATTCCAGTTAATCAACTTGATGCAGATGAACATAAGATAGTAGTTTTTGACGATATTCCGCTAAATAACATGGAGATGAACAAAATAAGATCGTATTTCTCACTGTCACGTAACAAACAA